AAATTAGTATGACGGGCATTTGTAGGAAGCATTTGCAGCAACCCTGGGGAAGGGTGATGGGTATTGCTGCCTCCAGAGAGCAAAGCTCCTATTCAGGAAGCCGAAGGGTAAAGGAAAGACATTTAGAACTTCGGCTCAGGAAGGGCACGATCATCATTTGCATTTGCAGAGTCTGAGACTGGGTCATGGAAGCAGTGTCTTAGTTCTGTCGGGTGCTGTAACAAAAATACCTCGCTAACTTAAACAGTATTTATTTCTCAGGGCTCTAAACACTGTGAAGTTCAAGATCAAGGTACCAGCAGACCACAGTGTCTAGTGAGGACTTCTCAGGAGATCTGCAGACAGCAGTTTCCTTACTATACAGGACATGATGAAACAGTCCTGACAATGGCACTGATCCCATTTATAAGGGATCTATCTTGATGACCTAATCAGCCCCATAATCTGAACTGCCTCAAAACATCCTCTCAAAGACAGAGAGTTAGAAATCCTCAGTCCATGCTAAGAAGACTTGGATGGAGTTTTGTTTTGGAATAGAAAGTGAGAAGAGGGTCAGGCTCTCTAGGCAAGACAGACAGTACAAGGCAAAAGCAATCCACAGGGGCTGGAGAGATGGCTCAGAGGTTAAGAGCACTGATTGCTCTTCCAGAGGTCCTGAGTTCAATTCCCAGCAACCACATGGTGGCTCACAACCATCTGTAATGGGGTCTGGTGCCCTCTTCTGGCCTGCAGTCATACACACAGACAAAATATTGTATACATAATAAATAAATAAATAAATAAATAAATAAATAAATAAATAAATATTTAAAAAAAAAAGCAATCCACAGTGAGAAACAGGCATGGATGCAGTGAAGGATCTGTGTTGGCAGTACGGACAGATGAGTTGGGGGGGGCAGGAACACAGGTTATAAGAAGACCTGGAAACTCCAGAGGAATTTAGAGTGGATACTTTTTCCGCATTGATGACCAGCAGGTCCATTACAGGTCCTTGAACAGGAGTATACCACGATGTCCAAGAGAAAGTGATTACTCTTGAGCCTATAAAGGCTGTGCTGGTGTAGTCACTGATTCTTTTTTTGTGTATATGTGTATGAATTTTTTATTGATTTTTATTGAGCTCTACACTTTTTTCTACTCCACTCCCTGCCTCTCCCCTCCCCTTCAACCCTCCCCCAAGGTCCCCATGCTCCCAGTTTACTGAGGAGATCTTGTCTTTTTCTACTTCCCATGTAGTCCACATATGTCTCACTTAAAGTCCTCATTGTTGTCCAGGTTCTCTGGGATTGTGATTTGTAGGCTGGTTTTCTTTGCTTTATGTTTAAAAAATACTTGTGAGAGAGTACATGTGATAATTGTCTTTCTGGGTCTGGGTTACCTCACTCAATATGATGTTTTCTAGCTCCATCCATTTGTCTGCAAATTTCAAGCTGTCATTATTTTTTTCTGCTGTGTAGTACTCCATTGTGTAAATGTACCACATTTTCCTTATCCATTCTACAGTTGAGGGGCATTTAGGTTGTTCCAGGTTCTGGCTATGACAAACAAAGCTGCTATGAACATAGTTGAGCACATGTCCTTGTGGCACGATTGAGCATCCTTTGGATATATACCCAAAAGTAGTACTGCTGGGTCTTGAGGAAGGTCATTTCCTAATTTTCTGATAAATCGCCACACTATGTGTGTGAAATTTAGCCCCTGCGCATTTGGTTTACTATTTATGCCAACTGCAATGTGGTACTTCCTCACATCCATCCCTCTTGTCCATTTTCTGATGGCTGAGTGTGGGCAAAACCAGGGGCAGGATGAACTATCTCCCAGAACGTGAGGCCACCTGAGCTGGAGGACCCCAGAGAGAATGGGAAGGCAGAACTGTGTACCCAGACCTGGGCTTCAGGCTGCCTTTGGTTGCTATGGGGTTGGTCCTGCCTGGATCACTCCCAGCTGTGGTGAGCACCATTCATGGGTTCATGAAGGTAGCACAAGAAGGTGACGCATCCCGAAGCAGCAACTTTGGGTCTCATCCCTCCACCAGTGCATTTGTACACTAATGGTTCATTCCTTTCTTACTTCACACTACTTGGGTTTTCTTCTACTGTCTGACATGTTTGAGGCCAAGGCCCTGAGAAAGATATCCATTCCATATGCGATCTCTATCTCTAAGGCACTGAGGTCTCTCGGCTTCTCCCACCTTCTCTGCTTGTAAATAGCTTCTTAAAAGATGAGTGTAGGGGGAAGGAAGGTAAGCATTTTAATTTTGGGGATGTCTCCAAACCCATTCATTAATTTTGAAAAGTGAAATGCATCTAACCTGATGGAATATTTATAAAAATTGGAGGCCCGTTGTCAACTAAATCACATTTATTTAATCTAGTATTAGACTGCTTTTTTTCCCCCAACCAGATGGAAAACATTAGCAGTAATAGTGAACAAACATCCAGGCTCCCAGAGGTCATTTTTAACCACCATTAACAATCTGGTTTTCACAGATTAGCAATAATGCGGAGAGTGGCAGTCCAGTAAAGATGCACAATGCGCAGCTGAGACTGTGCTGTCCTTATTTACCTAACACCTAGACACTTCGCAGAAGCTCGTTGGAAAGGGAACATTTAGATCTTCTAAGCTCTAAATTGGCCCTTTTTTTTTTCTCAGAAGTTGCAGTCAAACCTCTATTTGAAATAGACACTAATGCGAAATGTTAATAAAGCCTCCACAGAGCTGATGGAAAGGGCAGTCCATGGTCAATGGCACCAGCAGATTTTCCTGTAGTCAGTATTCTTCCGTTTATTAATTAGCTATTGATTTAGGGGGATTCTGTGAATATCATGCTAGTAATTACGAAGGGGAAAAGAAAAATAGCTACATCTATTTTAATTTTTAAATGTATCCATCCAGTTGGAATGTGGTACAAGATAAACAGTTACCAAAATATATCAAGGAACGAAAAACCTGGTCTACAACATGGTAAGAATGTGACGTCTAGATGTGGTTTCACGTCCCATCTAAGCCACGTTTTGAAAGTTAGACTGAGAACGTTGTAGAATGGGACGGTGCCATCTTAGCACACGTGAGTACGCACAGAGGCAGGCACCTGCTCGCTCTTCTCTGTTTAGATCCAGCGTTGCATCGGGGGAACTTCCGTACTGGTCAGTTGATGCAAACAGGCAGAGCTATGCCTAGCGCACGTTCATCTTTGTTTCAAACACCACTATGCTCGGTTTGCATATTAATGGTTTACTATCAACCTATTACTTTTCTAGTAGGGGAGCAGATTTCTTAGGGATTCTATTGGGTCTACAATCAGAATGCTTCACAGGTATTTTCCTCACTGCAAAGAAAAGAAAACCAAGGTGTCAAGGTTCCAGGATGTGCCTGAAGCTGTAGAGAGAGGTCATGTTCGAGATGTATCAGAATGAAGTTGTGTGACTATATTCTACTTGTTAGAGAATGCCTTCCATTAAGGAACGTGGGCGTGTGGCGGATGTAATAGGCCCCACCCCCAAGTATGCGTCTTCTTGGGAATATTTAAATGTATGACTCAGTTACATATAAGTCCTTTAAAGAGAAGCATGTACATCTCTGTGCATCTTCACACACTCCAGAGAGTCAGCATGTAGAATATAGATGTCCGTCCATGGCATAGGTTGCTGCTTTGTGAAGAAATCCTGTTCATCTTTTATAGAAATTTTAACTTGGCAGTGAAATCTTCCAGTATTCCAACAAGTGCCCGGGGGCCATTACACTTCTTTTCTTTCTGAGGGAAAGGAATAAATAGTGAGAAGAGAATTGAAGTGATACATTCTGGCTGGAGCCATGACTTAGAATTTATGTCCTCCTGGGTTTTTTTGTTTGTTTGCTTGCTTGTTTGTTGTTTGTTTGTTTGTTTGTTTGTTTTTTGGAACAACAGAAGACAATTTACTGAGGGTTCATTGTACGACCAGCCCCCTGTTAGGCACCAACTGGCTTTAGAGAAGAGACAGGACCTTTGCCTCCAGCAGCATTGACTAGTGGGTGAAGAAAAAGAGGAGTTAGGCAAAACCCCGTGCCGGATATCTGTAGGTATATGGGAGGTGCCTCACCTCTGGGAACTAGTGCGAGGAATGCATAAAACCTTCTTGGAGAACCATTACCGGCATGGGCACACCTCTTCAGACAAAAGCAGAAGCTTAATCAGCCATGTGGCTGTCACAGACATTAGCATGAAATTTGAAAACACAATTATCTAATTAGCCAAATGAATGGGTTAAACCTTTGTGTATTCTCCGACTCTTGAAGACACAACTTACTGTAGTGAATGCGCTATTTAGTGTGCCGTTGTTCTAGTTAGCACATACAGAGCACGTGCAGTCCGACCTTCACTTATGGTCCGGATGGCTGGCTTATTTAGTTTGGCTTGGGAGCAGGGGTGGGAGGGGGTGTTGAAGCAGAGGCCTAGTGCTTCCAAGTCTGTGCTTCGCTTCTGGGCTCCACCCTCAGTTACCACGGCTCTCAGGATCATTTTTATTGGTTCCAGATGAGTAGTTAAGAGACTATGGCTGAGTAAGTAAATATTTACAAACAATAGGTTTACGCTTCACATCTCTGCTTGCAGTGTGCATTTCTTTCCAGCCAGCTACCAATGACCAGGAAACCCTCCAGGCACAGGACTAAAACAAGTCAAGGACTCTCCATGCTTTCTTTTCCGCTGTCCCAAATTTAGGGGGCCCGAAAGTTTAGGAAACTTTTGCCTGTTGTGCTCTCAAGGGCCTTCCAGGGAGAGCAGGTGTCCTCACCTCAGTGATCCTGTTCTCCAACAGCCAAGTAGGCTCTATTCTCATTTCCTAGAGGGCTTCTGTGAACCAGAGGCGTGGCGCCCATTCGCAAGAGCAGCATTTAGTCCTAATGTCAGGTTATATTAAATAACGCTTTTTCTAGATGTAAAATAAATAAACAAATAAGAAGAAAAGTTAGGGGAAAGTAGTCCCTGCAAACTAATATTTTTCCTGTGTTTTTTTTTAAAGGTGAACACACACAAGAAACCAATTCACCTCATTCACTCAAAAAGGATGTAGAGAACATGGGGAAAGGTAAAGACAAGTTTGAATGTTGTATACGTCTCTTAGCTTTTAAAGAGTACAGAGATAATAAGAAGATATTTTTGTTCTGCACCATATTTTAAGCTTGACAAGCAACATATGAATAATATATGGACCATGGGGTGGATATAATTGAGATTAATGCATACATATCAATCAATACATGACACTGTAATATGATACTTTAAAATAATATATTACATTGATTTATATTCATGGATTTCTGCACAAAATCTATCCTGTGTCTATGCAACGTTTTTTAAACTGGTAAAATATTTTTGTCTTATAATAACGAATTGCCCTGTGTAACAGTTCTCCGGAGAGCTGTTTGTAAAGATTAGTAAACTGCTCTTCTTCCTTTCTCTGCTAGAGGAACTTCAGAAGGTTTTGTTTGAGCAAATAGACTTACGGAGACGACTGGAGCAAGAATTCCAAGTGCTAAAAGGAAACACATCCTTCCCGGTGTTCAGTAAGGAATCCCTTTCCTTTCATTCCATGTGTGGTGTTTGCTGGAATCTCTACGGTTAGGTTTAAGAGTGTCGTGTCAGCCGGAGTGGCTAAGTACAATGCCCACACAGCCTTCCCACGCCAAGCTGGGATCATAATCATACCTGTTAATCCCTTATCTGTGCTTTGAATTGACTCAAAATAATTTGCTATTTATCTTCTGATATATGGGTAGCTGTGTCTGTGCATTTAAAAATATGTATGTAAACACGTAATTCAGTATGAAATGTATTCACATATTCAAATATGTCTAGATTATATATTTTAATATATAATGATCTTTTGGTATTTGTTACTTTCTGAATAGGAGAAAAAAGGGACAATTACCCTTCATTCTCAGATAGCTCTGGCTAGCCACTGATGTGTATAAACATAAAGATGTGAACAATCTGAGGGCCACAACTCTATTGATTACAGTAGCTGCCCCTTGTTTTGAGGGGATTTGCCTGGCAGGACCCACTGGATGCATGAAACTCGCAGATAGTCGCAAACCTTCTCTGTACCCTTTTTCCCCCTCTTCTCACGTTCGTATGACAAAGCTTAATTTGCAAGAGATTAGTAAAAATAACCAAGGACAAAGATAGAACAATTATGACCATCTATACTATAATAAAAGTTATTTAAAATTTATGAATTGTTTATTTCTAGAATTTTCCACTAAGTATTTTTAGGCCACACTTGACCTTGTATAAGCAAAATCAAGGAAAGCAAACCCAGGGTTAAAGGGCACTACTATAATTAAATCGGTATCATTTTAGCGGTTTTACACTCTCAAATCCATTCCAGTGGGAAGCAGAAAACCCGGCAGCCTCCAGGTTATCACTTTGCTCCCAGAGCTGTAGACTCTTAGAGAGGCTTCACGGTAGGTGTGTGTGGAAAACTGAAGATTTCACCTGCCGGGAGCGGTAGGCGTGGTCTCGGGAGCGTTCCTCAAGTTGTGTTTAGTTGGATTCCCCTCTTTAGAGAAATGAAAGTGAGAAAATGGCAGACAAACGATTTTTTAAGATTTATTTTATTTTATTGTGTGTGTTTCTTTCTGTGTGTTTGTGTGTCTGTGTATCTGTGTGTGTGTGTGTGTGTGTGTGTGTGTGTGTACCTGTGTATGTGCACGTGAATGTAGGAAGCCAGAGATGACATACACCCTGGAGTTGGAGTTAATAAGCAGTTGTGAGCTGCCCAACAATGGGACTGGGGGTTCAAACTCTGGTCCTCTGCAAGAGCAGAACATGCTCTTAGCCACTGAGACAGCTCTCCAACCCCAGTATTTTTTATATTATGCAAACTTCAATTTTTTTCTGCGACAATTCTTTAAAATGTCAGCATGTCTCCTGTAATTAAATCTGGACATCACAAAACTGCATGAAGCTACGTGAGGCATAGGGGTCTTGCTTGAGAAAGAATGTAACTTGTGGTCTCCACAGCACACATAGCCGGGCTGATCTAAGGGTGGAGCTGGGGAATCGCTGCTTTAAGATCTAGCAGAGTGGGTTCAAGTTCAGTGGAGCCCAAGAGTACCTTCGCATTTCCCCATGAGGCCAGTGTGATCATAATTTCTTCTATGGGTAACAGCTAATTAATAATCATTTAAGGGATTAAGTAACTCACAGTGATGTATATACTTATACATTGCCCTTTAACACAAACCATGTACGTTAAAACAATGTTAGACTGGTCTAGGGCATAACTCAGCCCTGAGTTCTGTCCCCACCACCACACAAAAAGCGAAAAACCCTACAACAAAAAAACTAGGCCTAGACGTCATCATTTTGATCTGAGCTGAAGTGAGTCAGCCTGTGAATGCCTTATTGAATATAAAATATTTCAATAAGCAACATTTTTCAGTTTTGGAAATCTGTAATCTGCTCCACTCCCCAAGAAAGTGGTGTGTGTATACCCAACTTTGAATAATGCATGGCTTAGACACACCAAAAATAAAAGGTAGTTTCGCACGATGAAAATAGCAAATATGTGTTACGTGCTTGTTAACTAAATATAACTGAGTGAGGCCAGCACAGACTCAGCCTTCACTGGTGAGGAAGGAAAATCTAAACTCTGGAAAGCCACACCTGGAGGAAGCGCAGGAGACTCTGCAGAAGTCTGAAAAGCCTTTTTCCAAAGGCGGACAGATCTTCGGTGGTGAACGCCTTTAACCCCAGCACTTGGGAGGCAGAGGCAGGCAGATCTCTGGGTTCAAGACCAGCCTGATCTACATAGTGAGATCCAGGACAGCTAGGGTTACACAAAGAAACCATGTTGAGGGGGGAGGAGAGAGAGACAGAGACAGACAGAGAGAGACACAGAGAGAGATAGATAGAGACAGAGAGAGAGACAGAGAAAGAGAGAGGAATATCCTGGTGCTTTAAAGCACTGAGAATCTGTAGGGTTTTTCCATTAGGAATGCAGGTTCTAAAATCTACCAGACCCAAGCAAGCTTCTCCTCACAGGTTGTTTGACCTTAGAAACTGCCAACTGGGGCAGATAATTCCTGCCCCACGGGATGAAAGAACCAAAATCCATGTAAAGTTCTATGCGTCCACTTGACTCAAGTGAGGTATACAATAGCTGTCATTTGTAGTCCCAGGTGGTGAGGCTGAGGCAGGGTGAGGAGGGGGTGACTCAACCGCATGGAGAGTTTCTAAACATTGGGCTGTGCGGTCTTTGTGTGGTTCTGAGGGCTGAGCAGAGTCACGGAAATGAGTCCCGGACACAGAGTGAATAGATAATGTGAGAGCGAATGAGAAAGGAGGCAGCGGGAGAGCAGAAAAAGGAAGAAGAGAGGGTGGAAAAAAAGAAAGGGAGGAAGGAGAAGAAAAAAGAGAAGGAGGAAGGGGAGAAGGAGGAGCCTGCATCCTTGGAGGAGAGCAGAAGTCTGGGGGTGGGGTAGCATGCTAATCCCGCCCTGGGTGGAGAAGGGCTTTCCAGAACCCTGGCCTTGCTGGGGAAACACCGGAGGAGGACAGAATCCCAATGCCAGGCAGTTGGTCACTAGAGCAGGTTGAGAACAGGGGTTCCGAGGGAGGGTCCAGGTTTGGCTGCAGTACACGCTACTGCTTGCCCGGGGCGCGTTCCCTAGACCCTTTTCCAGCCGTATAGTAGTAAATGGATGCTCTGTGTCCACTATCCTTCTCCACTCCAACCCTCTCATTACCTAAAACACCACCTTTGACACCAAGTTCTGCCCCCAAGAAGCTGTCTTCAACCCCCCTGCTTATTTAAGCATCTACAGTAGCTCCTGCCCGAGAAAGCCCCCACCTGGCACCATCTGCCTTGGCGCCTTTCCACCTCTTCCCCTCTCTGCTCCAGTGGCCACGGAAACGGAGGCGGCCCCTCTTCTTCCTTTCCCTGGCCTTCTAGTTCTCGAGGCCTCCTCTCTCAGGTCCTCCACCACCGGGAAACCTCCCCACCCTGACACCCTTCCCTAGAGGAGTCCCGGATGTATCTCTCTCCATGTTCTTCATGACTTTCCCCTCAGCTCTCCTCTGCTGCCGCCTTCGACTCCGGTGTGTCGTGGGTTCCGACTGCTCTTAGGATGTGGTTGAGTCACGTGTTCATGTTGTATTTGACCCTGAAGGAAAATACTGGCTCAGCGAAGGCTATTGAGCACAGGTGGCTCAGCTGGACTGATGTTCTGGATTTTGCGGGTTTAAAGACAAACTCACAGCCTTTCAGAGAAGAGAGTGGGCAGGTCGGTCCATTCTTTAGGGGATGTTAATGAGCAGAGCTTTGTGGGGGTGAGAATTCCTCCAAAGTGCCCTTATTTAGTGATTCATAAAGAATCACTCTTCACATTCATTTTTCTGGTTTACTGGTTACTTATTTTTTTAATTTTTCTTCTGTGTGTGTGTGTGTGTGTGTGTGTGTGTGTGTGTGTCAGGGATAGAAATGAGCAGGCAGGAGCATATGCATACACACACACACACACACACACACACACACACACACACACACACTGTGGAAGCCCAAAGACAATCTTGGGAGTCATTTCTTGGGAAAGCCCTTTCTTTTCTTTGGAATAGGGTCTTTCATTGACCTGAAACTCACCAATTAGACCAGACTGGTTGGTGAGCCAGTCCCAGAGATCCTCCTGCCTCTGCCTCCCCAACACAGGATTAGATATCTGTAAAACCATGCCTAGCATTTTTCCATGGTTTCTGAGGGCTGAACTCAGGTCACAAGGTAACCTTTGCCCACTGAGCATCCCCACAGCCCCCTGATTATTTCTTACTGAAAACAAACTCACTGCCACCCACACGAATCCTACGGTCCACATTGTGGCTTATTTGCAAGACTTCATTTTGCACTCAGTGGTTCGCCACCTTCCCGCCTCTCTTTTTGTGGTCTCCTCTGGAAGTGAGCATAGGAGAGAACTTCCAAATACCGACAGATCAAAAGTCCCCAGAGTTGTTTGCGAACCGTGACAAAGGTAAAGATGATGAGCCACATGCCCAGTGCTCTGTGAGCAGAGCCTTCTAGTAGCCAGATGTGCCAGATGTGCCAGATGGTGCTCTTCTGGCTCACAGTCCCAGGGATGCGCACTGTACACTTTCTGTTGTTGTCCGGAAAACTGTGCTTCTGAAGTGTTCTCGGCCACCATGTTGGCTGGCACAGTGCTCCACAGTGCACCGCAGTGGCCTTCTCAGCTGCCTCTCACTGGAGGAGTAAGCTTAGTGAGTTCTCATCCCCAGTTATTCCTCATCAGTGGCTGAAAGTAGCAACATTTTAAAAACATGCTCCATTTTCACATTGGCAATCTTTTAATCTCAGAAGTCATACACATGTTTATCACAGAAAAATTTAGGCAGAAATACAAAGGGAAGAGAAGAACATCACTAATGGTCATGTTACCTAGCCACCCCCCACAAAAGTTAACATTTTAGTGTTTTCTGTCTTTCTACTAAAAGTATTGCATATTTTTTTAGAGATGAACCCCCTAATTAGTTAATGCCAAGTGGTCAGTCCTAA